AATGAGCGGTCGGCGTGGTCTCACGGTCCGTGTGATAGGTTATGCAGGCGCACTGGCTGACAAGGTCACAAGGAATGGCGAGTGACTGGAACCTGAAATGAGCACTGAACGCAGATTGACAAATCACAAATTCTTTCACAGCTGTGTTGAGAAACATTGAATCGGAATAAGCTTACGCTTTTCGATCTGCCTCGAGAATTCTGTATCGAATGGTGTCACATAGAAAGGCAATCGGCTCAATGTGATTGAATTAAACGCTTTCGCTTAAGCACGAATGCCAGTAAAAACTGTTAGTGATGGCGCAGCCTCTAATCGTAGAAGATATTTCCACGTATGATTGATCAATGTGTAAGGCTGGCAAATCCGGTTCAAATGAGCATACAGTGACAAAGCTGTGAGAAGATGGAGAAAGGATAGAGGGGAATAATCCAAATGAACCAGGAGCACGTACGTCACGCGTGTGTGGGGATGACGGTGCTGCTAACCGCGCAATTGGCTACACCGACAGAAATGCTGTCACCGTGTATCGCAGTTTATAGCTATTGAGTGTACCAAATTGAACTAGTCTTCAGGTTACAGTGTCTGAACAGCTGCCTCATGTGCTAGCCGCCTCACTCGGAAGCGATGGTTATTCTGGATCGTTCAATCACCATTGTGCCGTAGGCAAACGCCGCTTTGTCTTGCATCAAAACATAGGACAGCATAACAGGGAGATAATGACCACTTCACAAACGTTGCAATATCAAAATCACCAGAGGATTATGCACATCACCACCATTATACACAAAGCATAGAAGTAGAAAACACCTCAACTATTGTACCGCAATATAGTAGAATAGAAAATGAAAGAATGCAATACAGGCATGCCAGCTGAGTCAGCAGTAAGGGATGGACAGCGTTCCGGAGAGTTAACAGCCCGCTATTGTACCGCAAAAGTAGTATTATATTATGCATAGGAATTGACAGTTTGATTGGAGTGGAGTCTAAGCGGAAGGGAGAAGGACAAAACAACTCACAACACGAACGCCACTGTGGCCAGCTCCTAGCCTTGTCAACGAGTGTATCCAGCCAAACATGTTCATCGTCTTTCGAAGCCCAACCAGGGAGCCGAGACGCTCCAACCGAGGCCAACGTCGAAGTAAGGGCCTTCATTCCTCGTGACAAAATTATAGCTTGGCCACCTCTCCTCCTCTTCTATCCACAACCCCGGTGTGCAAACAACGCATGTGGCGGGAGTCGATGAATTTGCATGCGTAACACGTGGCCGAGCCGTCGGAGCCTGATGCTTGATATAACGGTGCCGAAAGTTAACTTCTTCTACATATGTCATAAACGAGGCGTCGAACACGCTCAATGCTCACAATGTGTTTTCACTTGATATGAGCTGAATTACTAAGGCACCGGTGGTCGAATGTAACTAGACTCTTCATGTCTACTGATCTAATTAGCTTCGTTTCACAGCCGTAAAGTAGAGTTAAACGGACAGCTGCATTGTACACTCTATCCTGTAAGGAGAGAGTGATGTTTCGCCGACGCCATAGGTGGCGAAGTTTAGCAAAAGCATCCTGTGCTTGGTGGACCAGGAGACTGAGTTTGTCTGACCTCCTACCATTGACCAATCTGATATGAGTAACTCTAAAGGCGTAAAAACCACCACCTAGCACATCTCAATGAATATTTGAGGCAAGCAAACCATCGTATCACGGTAAGGTCCAGCTTCATTGCGATGGGAGGATTAACCACACAGGTGTTGCTTACTCACATACAAATAGGAAGGCTGTGACTTGCCGATTATGCTTGCTAATATCTTAGAATTTAACCAAAACACGTCAGAGCGACTCAGCTTTCAACGTGACCTGTAACTTAGTGACGTTGGCTGGCATCCGGTGCAAGAACCGACCTGTCCTTGCACCATGTTGGAGACCGGTCTTCCGAGGTCCATAAGGTGTATAAGTTCAGCCAGTTCTGCGGTGGTCTGAGAGAAATACGTGCTGTTCTGACCACCTCGATTCTTTCTGTGTGAGCTACTAGACTAATTTTCACAATCTGAGTAAGAAACATTTTATCCAAGATCAGCATATTGCTGCCTATGAAAGTTGAACAATGAATTTATACGGGTTAAGGAGCATTGCTTTACACTTCGCATCGAATGGGTTATCGAGGATGTTGATCAAAAGTAGCCAGTTATTTAATTACTCATGCGCAGGAGATTTTTGATGTAGTTGATTGTGAGTTGGTCTCACCAGGTTCACCATTAGATAGTCATTCACATGCCCGGAAAAACACCGGACTGCAGTTTCAAGTTGGGGAGCATCACCGGTGCTGCGCATCTATTGGACCCATTCGAATTCGAACACATGACTAACAGCAGTTCACACAGACAGTCAGCAGGTTATGCCACTCGGTCACACGTGACAACTTCGAACGGTCCTGATTTACAATCCAACTGTGATATAGCGCCTTTTATCCTCTACTAACATGCAAGTGAAAAAGGTTGCACTGACAAGTGGAAGCTAATCAAACCAAGGTAGCTTCCAGAACTTTGATGGTGATAGTGTAGGGCGACAGAAGCCAGTGACTACTCGTGAACCGGAACGACAACAAAAACGGGATTGTAGAGACGAGACAATGCTCTGCGAGCGTTGCGTATCGATAAGACAGCGGATCACGGGCGACATCTGGTAACAAGCCTGAGCCCAGAACAATGCAAGAGGTATTTGTAGAGAATGCAATGTGTCAGACAAATACGCCGCTGGTGAAGCCCACAGGAGTGAAAGCAGGTCGAGTGATGTAGCCGCGAGAGAGCAAATCGCGCGCTTTCGAACTACTCATGGCCGGTCAGGAATCGGATGTAGCGAAGCAGAGATACGGGATGGAAATATGGAGGGGTTGTCCCGAAGCCCAACCTCGTAGACAACCGGAATGGCCCGTTACACAAATCTTCACCTGCGTTGCGTAGTGGGAGGGAAATACGGTTCAAATCTGTACCGATTTGTGACTTGTCAGTGGCACATTCTTGTGACAATACACGCTCTGCCCCTCGCGTCGTATTGCTACAATAGTGTTAAGTAACGTAAGGTAAGTGGATGTGTGCATCACCCAACCGTCTTTTGAATATGACTAGTGTCTGTGCAGAAAAGACTGATTCCAAGGGACGCATTGCACAGGTGACATTCGCGAATATAAATGAAGTTTCTACGGCCCTCCAAATGGCTGTACTGTTCCGCTAGTTTCATGGAATGAACGGTCAGGTTGGTATTACTTCTGAGTTACAATAACGAGCGGCACCTATTGTTCGGATCGTGTAGAATCAAGTAAGTCATTATCAGGTAGCCTCGTAATTGGTGATACCGTTCGATGAATACTCCTCATATGGGCGACCGCGCGTTCCAGTGCTGTACCTGGATGCCCGAGCTTGAGACTGATCCAGTGCAGTAAGGCTGTGTTTGAGCCATGGAAGCCAAAATTGCATTGCGTATTCGACATGAAGCCTAGGCTTATGGAATACCCTTGTCCCTGAAGCATCTGTAATCAGTCTATTGAGTTTTTGACAAATTCAAAGCAGTCGACTTCCAGGTTTTCATCGAGGGACGATCAGGTTGTGACATTGGCACGCAGAAGTAGTGCGTGGTAGTGAGCAACGTCTCACCGTCTTCATTTCGATGTTCCGCATCGTAGATGAAGTTGAAACTGTTGATTGCATGCTCACTGCAGCCCATAGAACAGTCCACAACCATTTATTCTTCTTCGATACGCATAAGATTCAGCACATATGACCTGTTACCTGTTTTATACAGAGTGGGCAAGGTGACGTGATTGTAACGTCGAACACTGGTTACGAGATCTTGACGATCAACATTGAATTGTTCTCCGATCTTGGCAGAGCTTCTAAGTTATGTGTGTTGAAATCCCCCATGATAAAGATGTGACCGTAATTCTCTTTTAGAGTGCTCTTAGAGGAGTAGCGAGGTTGCACTCCATTTCGGGTACAGGGTTTGGGGTGTAGTACACTAAGGCTATAAGGCAGATGTCAGCTTTTTGTTTCAATAGCGAAATATTGCCATAGTACAAACGAATGCAAAACTAAGTTTTGTCCAAAACATTCCAAATGTGTTGCTATCCACTCGGCTCCTAGCTTATTGTTAGATTTGTGTTGTAGTCTGCTTAAAATTAACCCGTTCTGTTTAATTTTGTGTTCAATGGTTGCGGACATTGATAGTTGAGAATGGTAACAGGAGCATAAAAGAGCTCTCCCTGATTGCTTTGAGCCTTCTATAATCATCTTCACTTAAACTAAGTCAGCACAAATTAAAGTATGGATGCCTACATCTTTCGTTTCAGCGCAGGTATACTAATAGGAGGTTCTTTGGGTACACAAGATTATGACGGTATGATATTCTGTAAAAATTCTCAGCGCTCACCTCACTTCCTTTTCAACCAACTCAGCTTATTCCTAAATCTATAGCCATATCATCGATGTTGACAGATCTCAATGCGTTACACAGCAATGAAACACCGTATGCCACTATTGGTCAAACTACGATAATGCCCAGTGATTTCGGGTCCAAAATTCCCCTCAGTCCTACAACTAGGGTCCGTCCATGGACCCAATAATACACACTTTTAAAGTACTCCAAGTCCCCTCACTTTGTCGAAAGTAGAAGCCACGATTAAACTTTGCACAATAATCTGCCTCGACAGGGAATCAAAGCCCGGACATACGGATTACCAGTCCGCTGCAGACCGGTAATCCGTATGTCCTTTGTTCGATTCCCAGTCGATGTAGATTATTATGCAAAGTTTAATTGTGGCTTCTGCTTTCTAGAATATTACACTACTCACAAAACCACCAATAATCTCCCACTTTATTATAAGGTTTCATATGCAACGTACTTATACAGTTACACATTCATGCCGGTGGCAATTCATCCCACACATTCTTGCTATATGAAGCGTCATATCTCCTAGGCATGAACTGTCATTTTCCCTTCATACACTAGGTTCAACCGATGCTAAGTGAATTCAGTGGTGTCCAATTGAGCTTGCGGATATTGGATGGGACAACAGCACGTCTTACAAGCACTAGCCCAGTGCGAATTTGCTTGATTGGGCAATTGCAAAACACTATTGTTTCCTGTGACTTCTATGAGAATGATCACACCGAATACCTTCAAATCGGCTGTAATGAGACGAAAGAGAAAATACTTCACTTTACTGCATTCGGAAGCTGGACCACCGTCGAGAAATACTACAATATCCGAGTGCATGTACTATCGGGTAAGGTGGATGAACTTGAGCAAATGGTTCGGTTGGAACGCGATTTGAATGGACAATTTCTTGTCGGAGCAGGTCCAATCCAGTTCAAAAATTGTGGGGCAAATCTTATATTTTGTATAGAAAACATCGGCGGCGGTTGGCACAGCAGACTGCATAGTGGTAAACAGGTAAAGTAAGATTGTAATATATTATTTTCTCCTTGTGTGCAATTACTACATAGGTGTGGGCCTTTTCAAATCTTTTGCAGCTGTGTCATCACGGTGTTCAGTTGTCGGTTTTCACTCTAAGAATAAGTATTACCGTTTTCATGTTTTTCTACAATTATTCGGGTACTTAGGTCAGCAAGTTACTTGCGCAGTATGTGGTTACCGAAGGCAAGAACCTGTCAGACGGGTGTTGCTTTGGGCTCTAGTTCCTCACGAAGAATGATCGCCTTCCGTTAGCCACGCTTGGGGCCCTCCCATCTGATGTTTGCACGTGTTGATAAGGCCTCCGTGTCATTATGAGCAGCTGTATACTTTAGTTATTAGTTATACATTGAGACGAATAGTAGCAGAACTTAGCGCGATGACGTCGTAAGTCCACTATTTGACACCCAGTACATGACGACTTCCCATAGCGGCCGCTGCCAACTTTATGCACGTAGCAACGATGTACGTTCTTGTTTTCACTATGTGAAGTATATAACGAATTAAAGAAGATTGCGAGAACCATCTGAAACTGACTATCAAAACCATGCTTTGGGTTTGAAGTCGAAAAACTAGGTGTATATTTTCATTGAATCCTTTGTACCACTCATAAAGACCTAAGATTCTATCAAGTGTGCCACCTTTGTTATGGCAATTTAAGTTGGGGAAATCCGGTTGTAAGAATCCTTCTCAGCACCTTGTGCCTGGAAGCAGTTGGCTTGGCTCCTATGCTTCCAAGCAATGTCATTAGGGCTGCCTTATTGGTGTTGAATAAACAAAAGTGTGTTTGAGTCGAACCTCGAGATTTAGTACGCTTCCTACTCAATTAGAGTTATATACCGGTAGAAGGATTAAGCTCCACTTACTACTTGGTGGGAGGCAGCCGCTGAAGCCCTTCACACCCAATTCCTGAAAGGCAGCTAAAAAGAAATTAGGTTGTATATTTTCAGTGCTTTTCTTGATTTCAAATAAGAATATCAAAAGATGAAGTTGGCGGCATGGCACCATTATTTTGCGCATGCACTTCGACCACGTACCTGCAACTAACAATAGATTCAAAACACGATCACATGAAATCAATTGGTGGTCAACATTTTTCTGATTGGTGCGTCACCCGCCAGCACGGCTGTCTGAATGTCACTGCCAGTTGTTTTGAGCAAAGAATATTGGCACTTGCTAATTGATAGCAATGGTCTCGAGACGCTTGAAAATGTGAGATCTTTAAATGTGCATAAAGAATATACATAATGCATCAGGGTCCAACTGGAAACCGATGTACATCAATTGTCTCATAAGTACTGAGACAACCTTGCTTCTCGATTCACTCGGTGAGACTGCATCATTCCATAAACTTGGTCTTGCGCTAATGTTTTTGATTTTATTTATATTCAGGATGAAGAACGTTTGAATTTTACCATGTTATTTACTTGTTTCCCGCCGAACGGCTTCATTCTTTTCATCTTTACATGCTTATTTGCCCAGGAGATCCCATTCAGACACGTTTGGAACCGAGATCAATCTGCGCTGCTTCATTGCTCTTTCACTCTCGAGTACCTGGGTCCAGCCTATGTGGGCGGATGTTGCACGATAACCGTGCATCAAGAGGGCGTATATGACCAACACGCTGCTCTATGTGTCCAACGTGTCACATAAGATGCATTTGAAAATTATAACCAATTCAGATGTAAGTTTGTTTCTTTCGAACAAAGGTGTCCAAAGCAATAACCCGGTAGATTACCACCTAGGTCTAAACTAGCCATTTCGATATTTAACTCGCAACGGGTCCTCTGTCGATACTATTCCAGTACCATTTTGGGGAACACAGTAAATACGGTTCTCATTAGTTGTGCCGGTTTTCCAGCCCCACTCAGAACTGCCACATTCACACAAGTGGGCCAGCTACTAGAGAGGTTTGCTGAAATTTGAAGAAATATGTTTATTTGCGCAGCTAACTAAATTCTGTCATCTAGTGGACATCAACAAAGAGATTTCTCGTGGTCGCTAACAAAAATATCCATAAAGCACTCATTCCAGGATATGACTAAATGATGTCGATTTCTAATCATGTATATCTGCCATGGCGTGCCCCATGCTGAGGCTGATGTTGCATTCATGATGCTTCTTCATCGCAGTTGGGCTAAACCAACTTACACTTAAACTAGGTCTCTTTAAGCTGCATAACTTTCATTCCACTTTATTTGGTTTGTTTTGCCTATCTGAATAATCTTCTATTAGCTGGCCACGTTGCTTCCGCTAATTGCGCTTATCTTCGGTAACTTTGTTGCGTTTGTAACACTTTTGAGTAATTTGTGGATATTTTTTCCTTATCGCGGATTCATTGCTAACCAACTGACTTCATATGCTAATCTGGCGAAGAGTTATGCCACTGTATCTGTTTGCATTATTGGATTTATTTTATTTCATGTTGTCGTTTCAAGTGATTGGCTGTTGCTTGATATCCCCGGTGTGGCTGCGCTTGATGTGCATGTTGACAAGGTGCCTACCTGTCTATTACCCACTACCTCGTCCATACTGGCTCCAGAAGACAGTTGGTTGTTGCTGTAGGGGACAGGGTGCACGGTCCTTGTGGCCATGCTAGGCTCAAAGAGCGGTTCCATGCACTCAGTGTGGAGCGGACTACGGTCTAGCCACGCCTTGTGTGTGCGCTTGATTCCCCAATACAGCGTACTTGTGTTTGCCTGTGAAGGAGTGTGGGCCGGCTCCGTTGATGAAACGTGGCTCTCATCCACATGCCTCCCGGTCTTAATCCTTCGGGTTTACACTGGATATGGGGTATGTGGTTGGAGCTGTAGGTGGTGCAGCGCAAGCCATCCATGGTCCCTATGTAGGCGCAGGCGTTCTGTGGCTGGCCACAGTGACAGGCAAATCCGAAACCGGATGCCGCCAACCATACCTGCCATGGTCCCTCTGTAGGCGCAGACTTCCTGTGGCTGTCCTATGAAGGCTGCAATGTCAGGCAAATCCGGGACCAAATGGTACCAATCAGAACTACCGAGGTTGTTAGTACACATAGTGTCGAAGCGAGCACAACTAAAGTTTTTCGCTATAGTATCTAACTACGCAAAAGGAAAGAAGATCATGACGTATGTGGTGTGTATTTTAGTTATTTACTTACTGAATGGCCACACTGCAAATTTGCGATGTTCCTGATTTTGTTATCCATGGGGTCTAACAACAACGATCCGAATACCGATGTGCGTACTTTACAATGATAGCATGCTCCTGGCTACTATAGATACAACAGCTAAAAATGAAAACTGACTATGCAACCAATCTCTTGTTTGACAAATGTTTTATTTGCTTCTATACTGTAAACAGAATGAGGCCGGATGGATATGTTTTTAGTGTTGCTCTTCCCAACACTGGCACACCACGACGGCGGTTTCGTCTTGGTTTAGACTCGTCAGGTGGAGATAGCCTGAGCTGGGGTGGAACTCAGAGCTTAGTATTTCATGGCTTACGCACTGAACACTGTTTCACTGAGCACTGTTTCTTCATTTGACAAATGTGATACGTTAAACCAGTTTAGGTGCATCCAGGCTAATCACATGGACACTACTCCATGTATCCTCACCGCCACGTTGCTGAGAGGGTCGTTAAACACATGGTTAGGTTTGCGTTATTTCCTCCTCCAACTGGAACGAACTATTTCAAGTAATGCAAGTTTAAAAGCGTTGCATCAAGGCGTTTTTTGAAAAGCATTACGGTGGGGGCAAGAATAACGTGAGTCGGAAGAGCATTCCAGGCACGGGACACACGGAGGGAGAAAAGGTTTCGTCGACAATCAAGTCGACTGTAGTGCGTAGCCAGTTTGAGCTGATGACCTCTCAGCTTGGTATTTTGTCTCAGCTGCAACAAATTGCAACATGGGTGACTTGGGTTCGTCAGTATTAAGTAAACCAGGATTAGGTCTCCTCGCTGACGTCGATATTCACCACTGTACAATCTCAGGGACTGCAGTTTGCGTTGGTAGGAGAGATGAAACAATCCTCTAACGAGTTCGGTCGCTGTACGTTGTGGAGCTTCAAGTGCATCGACGTCGCTCTTACGTCAGGCCTGGACCGCATATTCCACGTGAGGCCTCACATAGGCATTTAGCATTTGCCGAAAGATTGATAGCTCAAAATTGCCGAAAGCCATCCGTAAGAGTCCAAGATGTTGACTGGCTCTTTTTGATGCCTTCTCAACCTGTCTCGAGCAACCAAGATCGTCCTGCACGATCCTCACGAAGTCGTTTTCTTGGGAAGCACGTTGTAACTGCTGGTCCCCAAGTCGATATTCATAGATAAGCTGATGGCGTATGCTTACGAGTTTGCACTTGGTCACGTTGAACTGGAGCCGGTTGTCGGATGACCAGGCATAATCCCTGTAGAGATCGCTCTGCAATGCCAGGTGACCATCCGATGTCCTGATATCATGCCAAATCTTGATATCATCTGCAAATAGTAAGCAATTCGACTGCAGTGCACTGCCAAGATCGTTAATGAATGTGAGGAATAAACCTAGCCCCAATACCGATCCTTGAGGCACGCCACACTGGACGTCAATTGAGTCGGAAATGGAGCTGCGGACTATCACATTCAGCTGACGTTGATCGAGGAAGCTGCCGATCCAACCGAGTATAGTGTCACTGATTCCACAGCTTCGAAGCTTGTGCAGGAGTGTGCGGTGGTCCAAACGATCGAACGCTTTCGAGAAGTCCAGGTAGACTACGACGACTCCCACTCTGGCATCGGCTGACTCTGTTCAGTTTGCTCGGGCTATCAGCAAGTTTGTAGTGAAGGATCGATTTGGGCGGAATCCGTGTTGCTGTGACACTAGGATGTTGTTGCTCTCAATATATCCTGTGAGCGCTTCTGCAGTTATACTTTCCATTACTTTGGATAAAACTGGGATGAGAATAATGGGACGGTAGTTCCAGGGCTCCGAACCATTACCACTTTTGTAAATAGGAGTGACTAGTCCATGTTTCCACATTGTCGGAACCTGCATTTCGTCGAGACAACGTTGAAAGAACCTATCTAAAGGTTCGTCAAGGTTCATGGCCGCTATCTTCAAGAACTTCGGTTTGATGTCGTCCATGTCAGGTGAGCTGTGCACGCGCAATGACATTAGCGTTTTCAACATATTGGCTGCCGTGAACGATACGTGGTTTAACCCTGGTGTCTATGGAAGCTGTGTAAAAAGCGAATGAATTGATGGTTCAGTCCGGAAAGTATGGATGAAGTGTTAGCGAAGCACGTTGGCTTCATCCTTTGCGGTTGGCGCAAGACCATCCGTTGCATGTAAAACCGGGATCCCGAGCTGCACTCTGCGGAGCTTGTTGACGTGTCTACACAGCAACTTGGGATTTGTACTGCATTGTGACGCTAAGTTCTGTTGGTGCTGAAGTTTGTCATCGTGGGTCAACTTAACTCAGTGGTTTCGTTGAGTTGTGTAAGCACCCCAGGTCAGATTACTTGGACAGGCTTTGTAAGTGCGCCAGGCTGAGTTCCTTAAGCCCACGCTTTTTCTAATACGGCTTCTCAGGAACAGATTCACTTGCTTTGGGCGAAGGACTTTGCTTTCTGGTGCATTTATCACTAGGTCAGTGAATTGCGTGACGAACAAGATTCAGGCGACATTGGATGGCTTGTCGACCAGGAAGGACCAGTCGGTTTCTTGAACGCATTTGGACAGTTTTTCGTAATGCGTAACGACATAGGTTCACTGATGTACTCCGAGTAACAGATGTAACGAAAGAGCAACATCGCGTGCTCACTACGGCCAAGTGGTGCGTCTATGGTCACGGTGTCGACCATTTGTTCCTCGGTGGAGAGCACGAGGTCTAAAACAGAGGGTGTGTCACCCGTCCGGAATCTCGTGGGAGAGGTGACATGGTTGTACAGAGGTACATCGGCGATCACCGCTTGCAAATCCGCCTTGAATTGTTCGCAGTGTGATGCTGGAACATCGATTTCGTGCAGGTTGATGTCTCCTACCAGAAGGACGTGACTGACTCGTTGCAGCACAGAAGCTAGGCATTGATCCATTTCCAAGGTGGACATCGGAGGGCGGTAAACTGTTCCTAGTAACCATACATCACCACCTCTTAGGTGCCTACGACACCAAAGAGTGTCGACGAGTTGCGTTTCTTGGTCCTCAATAACATCAACAAGCAGGTCGGATCGATAATACAGGAGCACGCCCCCTGTTCTGCTAGGTCGATCGTTTCGTATGGAAGTCATGCCGGGTAGTGCAATCTCAGCATCCGTGATCTCCGTGTTCAGCCATGTTTCGGTGACCATAACTAGGTCCCAAGGCGTGAAGACCTGAAGAGTACGAAGTTCAGTTAACTTGCTGAAAAAACTTTGTGCATTGGCATACAAGCAAGTGAGGGCATCGGTGGTCAGAAGCGTGTTGGTGAATGCTGGTTTCTGGCGAGGGTTTATGCCGACCCTTTGGGGGCTCGGCTGCCGGTCACTTTTTTGTAGGACCGATGACGCAGGCCCTAGGGCCAGTTCAGGTTGTGGTATAGAGCTCGCAGCGTCAACAAGAGCGTGACCATCCTGTCCTCCTTCAGCTGCCAGTATGTTTTGGCATTGTTTCCGTTCTGAGCTACACGGTGACAGAATGGTATTGGTAAGTTGCTT